ATACCAAATTTAGAGAAACCTAAGGAAAATAATATAGGACTTAAGGAGTATGAAATAATGATTATTTTTCTTACAGAAGAACACACCGTGGATTATATACCCAACTGAAAAGATGTAATACATAGAAAAAGATGAGGTGTAATATGAAGTACTGAGTGCGAGCCATAAAGTATTTTTGCCCCTGCCAAAAATGGATTCTGCATCTAATCAAGCCTCTAGACCTAACCACCAAGTACAGGAAATTTGGGAGACACCTGAGCATGTTAATGATATCTTGTGGATAACATATAACTAGACAAATTCAGAATATGGGAAATTTGACAAATAAATAAGTCAGTTTCTTAAATAAATAATGTATAAGAAAGTCAGGGGCAATTATTACAGCTTAAAAGAAACTTAAAATCTGAAAAGAAAAAGTATATATATGTATGTACATATATAATTGAATTGCTTTGTTGTACATCTGAAACTAACATTGTAAATCAACTACACTTCAATAAAAATTTTTTTAAAAAGGAACTTAAAAGATAGACCATCCAACTTAAATTATTAAAAAACTAGGGAAGATGGGGGAGGGTATAGCTCAGTGAGAGAGTGCATGCTTAGCATGCACAAGGTCCTTGGTTCAATCCCCAGTATCTCCACTAAAAAACATAAAAATAAAATAAAATAAATTAAAATAAATAAACCTAATTACCTCCACCAACCCCCCAAAATAATTAAAGTGGTAAAAACAAAACAAAATAAAAATTAAAAAAAAAGGAGAGTGCATACAAACTAGATATTAGGAATTATTGCTAATTTTGTTAGGTGCGGTAACAGTACTGTGGTCATGTTTAAAAGGTCATCATCTATTAAAGATATGTTAAAGTTTATGGATGAAATGCAGGATGCCTGGGATGTGCTGTAAAATAATTCTGTCAAAGGTAGGCAGGTTGGATGAAAAAACTGGCAAAATACTGACAACTGCTGAAGCTAGGAGAAGGATTCATGAGGTTTCATTTATACTACTCTCTTGACATTTATGTACATTTGAAAAATTTTTACAATAAAAAGTTCTTATAAATGAGTTATACGTGGAAGGTTTCACTTAAAAATTTTTAAATTAATTCTTACTACTTTGCCACTGTTGCACACAGGACTTTAGTAACATTATTTCTGATAACAAATCATATTTTTTTAACCCAGTAGATGTGTATACGCACCCAGGTACTTCTTGACTTAAAGATGTAGTCTGTGAGCATTAACATGTACTTTCCAATACTTTCAATAATTTGGGACCCCACGATTTTGTATAAAGAGTTGGGAGACTGATTTTTCAAAGCTGGAAGAACTAAAAATAAATTTGGCAGCTTCTGAGAATAAACCTGCTTCACCCTGTCTCCTACTACACAGAACAACAGATCTGACTTAAGGGGGTATTTTCGGACACCAAGATGACTTCCTCTGGATTCCTGCCACATAAAATAACTCTATCCCAAATAGCTCTGGACATGCCACCATCCATACAGCACAAGGATATTTAAATACTGGAATTTAGCTGGTTATCGTTGAGCTTGAATGCTGACTTAAACACAAGTGTTTTTTAAATGCTGAAAGAATTAGATACTAGAGTTCTAGAAATCAAATATGAAATTAGCTAGAAGTTCAGTAACAATATATAATAAACAAAACATATATACTGGTATCTAACTTACCAAGAAGAATGTTTACTAGTTTAGGCCTATCATTATTTTACTGATTTGTTTAAAAGAAGTTAGAACAAAATAAATCTATAGCGTTGATCTAAGTATTAGTGAATGGAAAGTACTGCTGCTTGAAGCATTCTATTATATTGAGAAAAAATACACACCTCTAACTGGGAAGCTTAACTGCTGTAAAGTTGATGCACTTATACAGTAACCAATTTGGGGCTCATAGGCGATGGTATCTAGACATTCATTCCAATCTTGTACATTAGTAACAGGACAATCCTGTAGATGGGTGACAAGGTCTCCCACAAAAAGGCCTCGGGGTCCAATGGCAGGTGAGTCCTTGGGAAGAGAGCAGAACCAAATCAGATAATGTGTGAAGACAAACTATGCTTAATCTGAGCAAATAACAGACAATGAGCTAATTAAACAGAATATTTTGAATAATGCAGAAAATAATCCAGCTCTGAATTTAAGATTTATAGTCCTAGCAAATTAACAAAATAATACCCAGCAATTAGTTATTTTCCTACTTTGCTAAGATTTTTAATTTTTTGCAAGTGAAAAACAAACAAAACCCACTTGCTAACAGTTAAGATTAAAATGATAAAGTTTTTTCCAAACTGCTAATTAAAATTTTTTTTGTGAAAGTAGTCATCAGGACTACTTCATTTTCCTGTATCATCAGTGGATAAAATTATGAGACAAGTCCTTATCTAAACACAGTCCCAAATATGCACACACTATCAGCATAATGAATGTGTGAGCCAGTTGCTCACAGAGGTGATTTTCCTCTTCCCAAAGTGTGAACAGAACACTTGATACCATCAGAGTCTACAGGAGTGAAATACAGAGTTGAAGACATTAACAAACTCCCACAAAATGTTCTGGCTGGCTAGCCTAGGCCTCATCTTTCTTATTTCTTAGGAGTAAAGACATTTGATTCAAAAGCAGAGTTACAAAAATAAACGGTAAAGGTAAATGATGCATTTTATCAATAAACTACAGGTAGAAAATCTTGATATTATCTTTGTAACTCAGAACTATTTTCAGCATTTTAAAACAGCCAATGTGCTTCACTAAACTATTTCTTCTATTTAAAAGGATTACAATAATTTCTTCAGGACAAACTGAGCATTCTGTATACGAGAAGAACTTGAGTAAAAGTTCCTGACATAAAATGCTAAGTATGACATCACGAAATCTGGTGAAAGAATACCCCAAGTAATCTATTATTTACCTCAGCAACTTCAGTGATAAGCACCCCGACTCCAGTGTAGTAAAATGGCAATAGGATTACAGGGAGGAGAACAAGAGCTAAAATACCCAGGAGTGCAAGGACGAAATTATGCCAGATACCTGAAAAAAGAGAAAAAAAGGAACAAGCTCAACCAGGGGCAGGAGAGATACCATTCCAAGTATCTGTACTTCATAGCACCTAGGCATTTGGATCAATTAGTAAAGTAACCAGAAGAAGCTGTAAGGTAGATAGATTTACTTAGTAGTAGTACAGCAGACAGATGTTCAGTTAAAGAGGCTTCTTCCATTTCAGATACTGAAATCTAAATGAGCATGTTAATATAACACTAGGAAGACTACATGCTAATATGATTTAACACTATTAGAATCTACAGTCTTACATATATACCTCTATTACATATAGAGAAGTGTGTGTGTATATAAACACATACATAATTAATAGAATATCTTCTACTTACTACACCCAGTTTTCAGAAAATGCATACATATTATTTGAAACATACTTGTGATCTTTGAAAGGAACTTCAGAGCTACCAAATAAAAGTTAAGATGAAGTAAAAAACATTCTTGTTCAACTGACGTATGCATCTTACATTGACTATAACTCTCTCCACCACATATACAGGAATGATTAGGGGAACCCCACGGTGCGCTGGAGCCTGCTTGCCACAGCTGACTGTGCATCTTTCACTAACTCCTCCTTCGGGGACTTCAGCTTGGTGCCTTGAAATTGGCCAGGGTAGGAATATTTACATCACAGGAATCAGCAAATGCTACATACCAGAGCTCCCCACCCTCCCCTCCAGAGCCAGGTGTTCACTAGATAACCCCCTACACTCCATCCTTCCCTTCTTCTACAGCAGTTTTCCTCATGGGGCAGAGTGAGGGCACTATCAGCTTTTTGAGCAGTGCTATTAGTTCTGTAGGTCTGTCCCTTACAATACAGGATATATAGCATTCCTGACTCCATCCTCTGAATGCCACTAGTGCTCTCCAGTCACCAAGACAATCAATGCTCACCCCAACCCACACATTCTGAACATCCCCAGGAGGGTGACAGCACCAGTGGTTAAGAACCAATGTTCTACAGTGACAGAAATGTAACTTAAATACATCTCCCAGACTCTCAGGAAGGTTAGTATGGCCATATGACTGTGTTTTGGCCAACAGAATGTTAGTGGACGTGATAGGGATTGTCATACTGGCTGGAATGTAGCTATGATGGAGCTAAATCTGACTCCATGACATAGAAGCTGCATGTTGGGAATAGCACAGCTAAGACAGAAAGAGCCTGAGTCCCTCAAATCATAGAATTATCCTATCAGCGCTGAACTACTTACATTTGCAGTGTTTTATGACTGTTTAAGTCACCGTTATTTTTAGCTATTGCAGCAGCCAGATATTTAGCTAATACATGTTCCATGTACCATATTCACACTGTAAGATGTTCCTCTAGTCCAGGACACATTGGGTAAAAAATCTCTTCTGCTCTATACACAGATTTTCTAAAAACACCAATGGCATCAAGCTATTTACCAGAAACTGTATTTTGCTTTTTTATTTACATATTTTGGATCTTTTCCTTATCCACACATTCATATCCAACCCATTTCTTATATCCACCAGAGTCATCCATTTTTCTAAAAAACATACTTACTTATTCGTAAGGTTCCCTACTAATGACCACTTAGGCTGTTTTAACTTTTTCATACAGTACTGTAACGAACAGCTTTGCTCATATTGTTACGCATCTAATTAAGTATGCATCTGTGAGGGTATGGAAAACCACACAGAAAGGGAACTGCTCGGTCAAAAACTATGTGCATTAAAATTGACCTCCAGTGAATCTGCATTATGTTCTCATAACTGGCATATGTTTAGCCATCCTCTAAACACTGGACGCTATCATAATTTTTGACTTTACCATCTGCTAGGTGAAAAGTCAAGTCTTTGTCTTGATTTCGACTTAATTATGAGTGAGCTTGTATGTTTTTCAGGTTTATTAAATAGCTATTTGTATTTCTTAACATCTTTTATTTATTTATTTATTTTTTGGGGGGAGGTAATTAAGTTTACTTATTGAGGAGGTACTGGGGATTGAACCCAGGGCCTCATGCATGCTAAGCATGCACTATGCCACTTGAGCCATACTCTTCCCCTGTATTTCTTTTGTCTAAGAATTGCCTACTTCTATCCATTGTCAGTTTACATTTTTTGACTGGGTTGTCTTTTTTTAAAACTAATTTATATGTATTATTGGTTGCAATATATACATTGAGAAATTTGGTCTTGTTTAAGAGATATTATAACTTCTTCCCTTTAGCTTGTTGCTTGGCTTGGTTTATAGTTTTGCCTATATAGACATTTTAAATTTTGGTGTGGTCAAATGGTTCTTTTGTATTAAGCTTTTCCCAAGCATAATATTATAAAAGACACTCACCTGTGTTTTCTTGGCAGTTCAAGATTATAGATGACACCTGTTTTCTTGTACTGCTTTCATAGCATCATTAAAAAAAATTAAAACAAAAAAACTAATTCTTTCACCCACTGGAATTTAGTGAAACTAATTTAGGAATACAGCTATACCACACTGTCCCCCATCCCCGTGTCCCCCACCTCCTGCTGTTAGTCTCAATACAATTTCACAAAATAATCCATAGAATAGATTTGCCACCATTACCATGTACTATATTCACCTTTCCCCTCAACTCCTCAGGATGGAACGATCCACTAGGACTGCCTAAAAGCTTGCACCTTCTTTCTCCCTTATCAGGATACCACCATACAACCCTGACTTTTCCCATCCAAGCAACAGTTAGAGGGGCACACAGCAGCACTGATTCTTTGACTCTCTGGGCAGCCTCCTATCTGCTCAGGGATGCAACTGCTATCAGACCTCCCTGCTAGATTCCAGATTTGCCCATGGTGGCTAAGTGGCAATGGCCATGCCTTTCTTTCCTTATTTAAACAACCTTTTGTTCATTAATGATTTATGTGTAAGTATACTAAATAAATATTTGTTATAATTCTTACTTTCTTTAGAGCAGGGTTTCTCAACAGTAGCACTACTGGCATTTGGGGCCAGGTAATTCTTTGTTATGGGGAACTGTCTTTTGCATTGTAAAATGTTTAGCAGCATCCCTGGCCTCTATCCATCAGATGCCAGTGGCATCCCCCGACCCCATTTTCTCTATCTTCTAGCTATAGCATTTATATAGGCAAGCTTTTTTTTTTCTTTCTTTAGAACAGCTATTTTATTTTTGCTTTTTCTATTACAAGTGATGTACGTACCAAGTGTTAAAAGGTCAATACATACACAATATATTCTACAACTGAGCACCACTCTCTAGCTCAAGAGGCAAAGAAATCATACTAAACAACAGCATCTGGCAGTATTTGGGGGCAATAAAAAGACTAAACTAGGTTTAAATTGACTATTACATCACACATCTAATATTCAATACTACATAATCCAAAGCAGCTAAAAGATAGTATGCAAAATGTGTCAATATCAAAGAATATAACCAAAATTAAGATAGCAAAAAAACTATATAACGTTTTTAAACAGTAAAATACTTTAAGTATGCATGTAACTATTCATTCTTTTAAAACTAATCTGCAAAGTTATCAACCTCCAGAAAAACCGTATCAAGAATTACTAAACATATTCCTAAAAGTATAAACATGAACATTTAGAAAATACAGAACTTTAAAAAAACTGTAAGCAATATGTGAACTTCATATTTAAAAGAATGTGAAAAGAAGTCCCATTTTTCATACAGTTGTATAAAGAACTGTCTTTTGATGTGAGTGAGGTTCATGAATTATCCTCCTGTTGGGACCAAACATTACAAAAACACGTTTTTCAAATGGTATTTCAGAACAAGACAGAGCATCTTAACAGTGTTATTTCATATAAAGAATTATTTTTTAACCTTTTAATTTTACTTTTACTACTCTATCAAAACCTGACCCTTAGATGTATAAGAATCATTAAAAAAAATTCTTTCCTAGAAACATTATACGAAAAAGGCATTTTTATTTCCAATCACATTCCTGGAAGATGCTTTTTGAGCTTGAGCAGGGTCTTCTCTCCTTTTCACTGGCTCTTCTTATTCTTAACGTGTGTTAAGATATGAGACTTCAGGTTGGTTGACTGAGCAAACTTCCTATTGCAATAATTGAAGGGGCACACGAAGGGCTTCTCTCCCGTATGGATTCGCACGTGTGTACGCAAATTGAAATCCAGGGAAAAGCGTTTTCCGCAGCCTTCGAAGGTGCACTGAAAAGGCTTCTCTCCAGTATGCACCAGTTGATGTCGTTTTAGTTTCGAGCCCTCAACAAAAGCTTTGCCACACTCTGTGCATACGTGGACTCTGGGACCATGGGTGTGCAGATGTTTTCTCAAAGCAGACTTATTCCTGAACATCTTCATGCAGCCTTTCTGGGGGCAAGCTATTGTTCTCGGAGTCTCGTCTTTGGTATTTTGGGGCTTCATTCGAGTAAATTCTGCCAGTTGTTTGGGATCTGAGAAGTCGACGCCACGGATTCCTTCAGGAGGAAGTTTCTTCTCGGTCATGTTCTCTGAAAAATTGGGAGCCGGGTGCTCCTCAGTCTGTCCAGTCTCAAGGTCTGTGTTATTGTTGGCAGACCACATGATGACAGAGAACTCGCCCTCCAGGGTTTTGATCGGCACCTGCTTCTGCTCCCACTTCTTGGTGACTACCTTGGAGCTGCTTGCCGCTTCGGCCTTGCCGCCGGCGCAACTCTTTTTACCGCTGGGCTTCTTGCCTTGGCTGCTGCGTGTCCGGCTGTGGCTGTGGGCCGAGGACGATGCAGAGGCTGCCAGGGAAGCCAAGGTCTGCTGGAAGGCGTCATCGTTGACCGGGACGAGTCTCTGGTTCTCCACATTGCCGGCCTGCAGGTTATCGGACTGGAAGTAGCCCACCACCTCCTCCTGCGTTTGTACCATGATCATTTCCTGGTCGTGGTCCCCTGGGTTTGGGCTGCTGATAACGAGAGGCTGCAGCGCAATCAGAGGCAGCTGGTGGTGACCGCCGTGGAACCAACTGCCGCTGATATCCTCACACCCCTCGATCGATTCCAACGCCATGGTCTCCACAGGGATGGAATCCACAGGGATGGTCTCCACAGGGATGGTCTCCACAGGGATGGTCTCCATATGGATCTGGCGCAGCTCCACAATATTTGTAGACATCTCCGAGTTTTCTGTGGTGATGTTGAAAGTGTCGTTTGAGGCCATGCTGACGGCTCTTCAGAGGCTCTGGCTACTGAGCAGCGACTGAGTGACCAGAAGGCCGTGGAAAAGAAAGGCTGCAGGAAAAGCACGAGCTCCAGAGGAAGGTGCGGGAGGTTGTGGTGGTGGACAAGAAAGACGCGGAAGACGCCGGAAGACGCCCGAAGACGCCGGAAGACGCCCGAAGACGCGGTAGACACCAAAGATGCGGAAGACGCCGAAGACAGACGCGGAAGACACCGAAGACAGGCGCGGGTGTTTCTGGGTGCGCCTTGCGCATGCGCTTCTGGGAACCCTGCGCATGCGCGCCCCACCCCCGGCTGGGGCGCCCCAGCCGAGCGCGCGCCCCGGTTCACGCGCCTGTGCAGGCGCCAGCCGTCCCACCCATGTGCGCCTCTCCGCTCAGTGTGCCAAGCTATTGTTTTTTTGAAATCGGTAACCAGGCTCTACAGAATTTTTCTATATTTCATTTACATTGATTTTCTTGTCCTTCCCCTACCCGCCACCAGGTATATAACAATATGTGGGGGGGGTGGTACGGGGAGCCTACTCCTTTCTAATGTTTATGCTTTTTTCTTCTTATGTAATTACACTGACCCACATTTACATACCATTTAATAATAGTATCACTGATAGTGGGATTGCTTGTCTTGTCTTTTAATAGAAATGGTTCTAAGTGTCATACCATTAGGAAGTATCCAGCCATTTCTACTTTTTTACTACACATTTTTGTTTTTTAGCCATTAATGGAGGTTGAATTTTCTTAAATACTCATTTCAGTATCTGCTGAGATGAGGATTTTTTCCCCCTAAGGGCAACGTTTACCACATGCAAATAAGATTTCCTAATGTTGAGCCATCCTTGCATTGTTTAGATACATCAGCTGTAGAATTTTTTTTGTGCTTTACAAGATTCTTTATCAGTGTTACACTGGGTTTAAAAAAAAAATCTTACTTTCCTTCTCTACGTGACCTGGAAAGTTTGTACCAAATTGGAATTAAAAAGAAAAAAATCCTTTCCTTCAAGATTTGAAAGAATTCCACCTATGAACATTCTTTAACTTTCTTAATTTCTCCTTCTTAATTTCTTAACTTTCTTAATTTCTCCTAATTACCCTGTTTAGAACTTTTTTTGTCTCCTCTGGGATTAATTCAGGCTATTAAAAAATTATCCAGCTTTTTGAGAACTTTTTGCAGAGATGAACAAAAAACACTTTTATAATTGTTTTAACTTTCTCTGTTATCAGTTGTCATTCCCCAATCTGATTGCTAGTTCTGTCTGTAGATGCTTTCTCCCATTGTCTAATCTTTTCTGTTCTTCAAAGAACTCTTGGATTTAACAGCCCTATTTTTCTTTTTTCTAATTTATTATTTTCTGCCTATACCCATACTAAATACATCATTGCCTACCTACTTTATAGTTCTTTTCTCACTTCTTCACTTGACTGCTTAACTGATTTATTTTATTTCATAACAACAGCCTAAGACAGTGAATTTTCCTTTAAGCAAAACTTTACACATTATTTCACTACCATTTTTAAACATACTGAAATTATGGTTTTGAATCAAATTAGTCAATTTTTATAAATTTCATGGGCACTTGAAAAGAAATTATCATGGTAGAGGGTCCGACATAACTACTGATTTTTTTATCTTGCTAATTAGAGCTTCAATAAACTTTTTCATACCTATGTGCCATGTGTTGACAAATGAGAAGAGCCTCCTTTATTACATTTGTGTTTTTAACTTGTACTTTTTCCATTTTTGTTTTGATGGCTTATTACTTCATTCAGTAAGAGACTCAATGATTACATTTTCATTGTGGATTACACTCCCTATGATTATTAACTGGCCTCATGTCTAATGTAATGCTTTAGTCATATTTTCATGATATGTTCTGGTCATTTTACTTTCAGTTTTTTAAAAATAATTCATGTTAAAAAATGAAGAAACTGGAGTGGAAATTATTTTGCTCTACTACTTCTGAGAGGCTTACAAGCTGAATTTATCAACCAAAAGGTGAGGTATTTTCATTTGTTATAGAAGTACTTCCCATAAAACCACTAAACACACAGATGAACAAAGAAATTAAGGTCTGTTACCTGCACAAAATATCCTTAGCTGCTGGACTGGTGATATAAGTTGCAAATGAGTGGTGAACAGATCAACAAATGCTCCAGGATAAATAATGAAGAGAAAAATCCCAAAGCCATTAAATCGAACTTGTTCCCTAAGAAATCATATAAGAAAAAGGAATTTACTACTAGTATTGCATTTTTTCAAATTAATAATGCATGTAATCTTAAAACTTCCAACTGTAATTCAAATTGACTTAAAAAACAAGTCTCTCTGAACAGACAAAAAGTCATATATGATATATATTTATTTCATTGTAATTTTATAATAGCATATAGATTTGGTTATCAGTGAAACTATATTTTGTAAAAAGGGGCACTCTGAAATAGACATAAAACTTCAAAATTTTTAGAAACTGACATGCTGAGAAAATAATTTGAAATCAGTCACATATATGAAGAAATAGTTAATATTTCTATAAGCAACTAAATGAAAAACACTTTTATGGTTTACTCTGAATTATTTTCAGAGAAGGACACAGTAGAAAATAGAATTCAAGTAAATTATCTAGATATTTATATTTGTTTTAGCTATTATAAAGATAGAGGTTTATCTAAGTGTACTCCGGTTGAATGTTAAAATAAGTACATTTAAAAATGCATAATGCTCAGATTGTCCTTAAGAGAACTATTCATTCTTTAAAATGGAATTACACTTAACAGCCTTGTAAGACTGAACAGCTACTCTAAAAAAAGCATCACCTAAATATACTGTGCTGTCACTTAGCATTAAATATGTAAGATGACTGTATAATTCACCTTTTCTTGGCAGTTGGGATTTTGTAAAAAATTACCCAAATTATTTCACAAACATATTGTGATTAAACTGTTAAAAACAATGCTTTGTATATGTAAAACCCTAAAAGCTGAAGTGCTAAAAAAGTGGAAACAAAGATGAAAGATTAAAAAAAAAAAGTAGCCGTCCACTTAAACCACCACACGGCAAACCTGTGTAACAGTATATGCTCTGTCAAGATGAGGGTTTATTGCCAGTCTATAGACTCTTGTTCATAAGCAACTGGAAAGTAATAAGAAGTGATTAAATCTTCTCCTCTAAAACCTTTTATCTGATCCACACACCCAAAGGATAAAACACATTCCCATCAGTATGTGGGTTCATTATAGCAGGGGAAGTAAAGGGGAATCGTGATTCACTTTCTCCTCCATCACAATTTTACAGGTTTAGGAGACTTTAAAATGCTCAGGTATCATTACAATGATACATTTGGGTAGTCAAGACAAGAACAGGGCATGATACTTGTACCAAGTCCCAGGTCTCATCCTCCCTTATCTTCTTCCGCTTGGTTTTCTAGATAGGCTACATTTGTTAACGAACCCAGAGCTTTCAGTGTTCTTGCTGTAGCCAGCAGAGGCCATGAGTAGAAGCAGGAAAGTATTTCAGATGATGAGCCAAAGAAAGTACTAAGAAGGCAGGTAGGTAGGCTTTGAGTGCAGTGGTTATTCTGATCCAATGATGAATAGAAAGATTAGGTTTCAGGATTAGATGAAAATACTGAAGCACCATGAGGATATAACCATGCTGGCAAAGGACAAAGGATAGAAAGATCCAGATTATAGATGTGCACATAGTTAACTGGGCATATTCATCAATATATTAATCTCCTCTATAAAAGAGAAGGCACCTTAAAATAATAATGGTAGATATGCACTGGGCAGCATCCACAGAAAGAAAAAGTATCAAATATAGCAGATTTTAGTAGTAAGTCCAACTAAATGAAAAGCTTCTTTGTATGGAGTAGAAAGAGACAGGTAAATATCCTTACCTGATAGCTGCTATTCCATGTCCAATTTCATGTACGACACCACTAATGAGGACTGCAGCAAAGAAGTAGGTCAGTTGGTTGACGGGTAAATTTATACCAGGGACCTGTTCATAGACACAATGAATACACACTTGGGTACCAAGAGACCACGATGTTTGCTCTGTATTAAAACTTAAACTTCCAAACTGAATGTTCTGTAAACTAAAAATAATATGAATACCAATGATCCACTTCTCAATTTCCATCACAATAAAAATAAAAACACCAGTCAGTTTTTTGAATGAGGTGGTTTTTGACCTAAGCACACCAGTCTAAAGAGAACAGGAAACACCAGGTTAAAAAGTTGAAACGTTAGCTTCCTGAAGTCTTTACCATGGGAAAGAATTATGGACCCTGGCCAAGTGCCAGGGAAGGCAGAGTGACAGTGAAGGAGTCAGCAGCTGATCCACCCTCAGGGGCTGGAAGCCTGGTCTGGGAATTCTTATTACAATTCCTAGTCCTTCCTCTGAAGTGTTATTGCAAGGTTCTAAGTACTTATGCGAGTAATACAGGATGTCCCCACCCCTCTTCAATGAGTTTCATTTTAGTATTATCCAGTTGTATGAGAGCTGATAATTAAAGGCAGTGTAATAAAGTGCCTTACTAGTATGGGAGCACCATGCCCTCTATTTCATCAGTCTGTCTAATACACTGGTCAGCAAAATGGTATCAAAGTGATATATAAATATTATATTAAAATTGAAATTTAATGCAGAAAGTAAGGCATTTGGACCATACAGACATGTTAAGGGCCAATAAAGAAGCCTTGCAGTCATGTGCTCCTGATTGTTGTGCATGTAAGTTTGCTATTGTAAGGGCTGCACAGTAAAATATTTTTAGCTACTTAAGAATCTTCCTGTAAGGTAAATAATCATTACCAAGTTATGTCATCTGTTAAAAAGAGATTCTATAAATTAGGCTAAGTGGGGACACCATGCATCATTATCTACTTACTTACTGAGCATCTATTTCTCACAATCCAGGCAGTGGGACCCTAAAGGTATCCTTCTGGAGGAAAGTCCTTCTTTCTTTTATTAATTATTATTTTAAATTAATTATAAAATATGTTTAAAGTAGGGAAACTGGAAAACTCAAAGAAAAGTAGAAACCTATAATCCTGCTCCACAAACACAAAACAAAAAACAGTTCTCAGTGTTTTAATATATGTCCTTCTAGTCTTCTCATGTACACATAAAAATTATACTTTTATTAT